GTTTAGTGTTATAAGAAATTACCAATTTGTCTTCCAAAGTATCTGTACCATTTTGAATCCCACCAGCAGTCCTCTTGCCCCACATCCTTCCCAGCATTTGGCATTATCAGTGTTCTGAATACGCCATTCTACTAGTTGTGTAGTGGTATCTCATTGTTTTAATTTGCATTTCCCTGATGACTTAAAGTATGTAGCATCTCATTTGCTTACTTTCCATTTGTGTGTCTTCCTTGGTGAAGTGATGAGATCTTGGCCCATTTTTTTAATTGGGTTGTTTGTTTTTTTATTGTTGGTTTTTAACAATTCTTTGTATATTTTGGATAACAGTCCTTTATCATATAGCTTTTACAAATATTTCCTCCCAGTCTGTGGCTTGTCTTCTTGTTATTTTGACATTGTATTTTGCAGAGCAGAAGTTTTTAATTTTAATGAAGTCCACCTTATGAGTTCTTTCTTTCATGGATTGTGCCTTTGGTGTTGTATCTCAAAAGTCATCGCCATTTCTCTGCATCTTCACTAACATCTGTCGTTTCCTGACTAGAGGGGAGGGGGGTAGGGGGATGGGTTAGCCTGGTGATGGGTATTAAAGAGGGCACATATTGAATGGAGCACTGGGTGTTATACACAAACAATGAATCATGGAACACTACGTCAAAAACTAATGATGTAATGTATGGTGATTAACATAACAATAAAATAAAAAATTTTTAAAAAGCCATCACCATTACCAGGGTCATCTGTTCTGTTCCACTGATCTATTTGTTCTTTTGTATCAACCACACTGTCTTGATTAATGTAGCCTGGAAGTCAGGTAATGTCAGTCCTCCAGCTTTAATTCTCGTTCAGTATTGTGTTGGCTATTCTGGGTCTTTTGCCTCTTTCTATAAACTTTAGAATCAGTTTGTCAGTATCCACAAAATAATTTGCTGGGGGTTTAATTGGAACTGCATTGACTCTAGAGACCAATTAGAGAAGAACTGACGTCTTGAGAATATTGAGTCTCCCAATCCGTGAACATGGAATATCTCTGCATTTATTTTCTTTTGTTTTGTTCATCAGCATTTTATACTTTTGCTCATACAGATGTTATATACATATTTTGTTAGATGTGTGCCCAAGTATTTCATTTTGGGGAGTGCTAATATGAATAGTACTGTGTTTTTAATGTCAAACTCTGTATGTTTATTGTTCATATATAGGAAAATGATTGGCTTTTATATATAAATCTTGTATCCTGCAGCCTTTCTATAATTGTTTATTAGTTCTAGGAGTTGTTTTATCAGTTCTTTCAGATTTTTTACATAGATGATTATGTCACCTGTGAACAAGGAGTTTTATTTCTTCCTTCTCAATCTGTATACCTTTTATTTCCTTTTCTTGTCTTATTGCATTAGCTAGACACTCTACCTTTGGATTTAATCTTCTTTTTCTAATTCCCTGTGGTCAAGACTTAGATTATTGATTTTAGGTCTTTCTTTCCATATATATATATATATATATATGCATTTGATGCTATAAATTTCCCTGTAAGCACTTCCTTCACTCTATCCCACAATTTTCATTTCTATTTAGTTCAAAATACTGTTGATTTCTTCTTTAATCTACATGTTATTTAGAAGTGTGTTGTTTTGTTTAATCTCCATATATTTGGGGATTTTTTCACTTACCTTTTTGTTGCTGATTTCTAGTTTAATTCCTTTGTGGTCTAAGAGCAGACATTGTGTAATTTCTATTCTTTTAAATTTATTAGAATCTGTTTTATGGGGGCGCCTGGGTGGCTCAGTTGTTAGGCGTCTGCCTTCGGCTCAGGTCATGATCCCAGGGTCCTGGGATCGAGCCCCACTTCGGGCTCCCTGCTCAGTGGGACGTTTGCTTCTCTTCCTCTCCCATTCCCCCTGCTTGTGTTCCCTCTCTCACTGTGTCTCTCTCTGTCAAATAAATAAAATCTTTAAAAAAATAAAATCAAATCAAATCCGTTTTATGGCCCAGAATGTGGGCCATAAATGTTTGATGTTCATGTGAGCTTGAGAAAATATGTATTCTGCTATTGTTAAGTAGTCTATAGATGTCAGTTGTATTCACTTGATTGATGGTGTTGAGTTCAGCTAGGTCCTTAATGATTTTCTGCCTCTTGGATCTGTCCATTTCTGATTGAAGGGTGTTGAAGTCTCCAGCTGTGGTAGTAGGTACATCTCTTTATCTTTGCATTTCTATCAAGTTTTGCCTTGTGTAATTTAATGCTCTGTTCTTAAGCACTACACATTAAGGATTGCAGGTCTTAGAAAATTAATCTCATAACATTATGTAATGCCCTCTTATTTTTTTTTAAGATTTAATTTATTCCTTAGAGAGAGAGAGGATGCACAAGCAGGGGGAAAGGCAGAGGGAGACGAAGAAGCAGGCTCCCTGCTTGATGTGGGGTTTGATCCCAGGACCCCAGGATCTTGACCTGAGCCAGAAAGCAGACTGAGCCACCCAGCTGCTCCTTAATGCCCCTCTTTATGACCAATAACTTTCTTTGCTTTGAAGTCTGCTTTGTCTGAAATGAATTAAATTTGCTTTCTTTTGATTAGTGTTAGCATAGTGTATTATTCTCTCTCCGTTTACTTTTACTCTATATGTGTCTTTATACTTATAGTGCGTTTCTTGTAATTGGGTCTTTTTTATTCATTCTGGCAGTCTGTATTTTTTAATTGGTACCTTTAGGGCATTAACATTCAAAGTGATTATCGATACAGTAGGATTAATATCTATCATATTTTTTTACAGTTTTCAGTTTGTTGCCCTTGTTCTCTGTTTCTCTTTTTGTCTTTCACTTACTTTCTGTCTTTTGTGGTTTCATTCAACATTTTATATGGTTTTATTTTCTCTCCTTTTTAGCATATAAGTTATATTTGTTTGTTTGTTTGTTTTACCTTTTTTTATGGTCGCCCTGTGCTTTGCATCTGTGTCCATTTTCAGAGAACACTAAATCACTCTACAGGTATTGGGATTACCTGATAATAACAAAATAATCCTAACTCCTCCTTCCCATCTCTTACATCATTACTGTCATTTATTTCACTTTATATATGTGAGTATATATGAATATATATAATCATACATGATTGAATACATTGTTACTATTTTTGAAAAGCTATGCTCTGTTAGCTCAATTAAGAATAAGAAAAATTAAAATTGTATTTTATTGTGAAAAATTATTTTATTCTTTCCTCAGTGCTCCTTTACTCTTATGTAGATCTGAGTTTCTGGTCTGTATTATTTTCCTTCCCTCTAAAGAATCTCATAACATTTCTTATAAGGCAGGTCTACTGGCAACAAATTTCTTCAGTTTTTATTTGAGAAAGTCTTTATATCTTTTTTGAAGTTTGCTTTTTGGCAAGGTACAGAATTCTAGGTTGACAGATTTTTTCTTTCACCACTTTAAATATTTTACTCCACTCTCTTCTTACTTACATGGTTTCTGAGGTGAAGTCAGATGTAATTCTTTGCTCTTCTTTAAGTAAGGAATTTTGTTGTTGTTGTTCATTTTTCAGGATTTTTTCTTTGAGTTTTTATAGTTTGAAAATATTCTTAGGTGTAGTATGTTTTTTGGGATTTATCCTGTTTGGTGTTCTTTGAGTTTCCTGGGTCTGTGGTTTGGTGTCTGACGTTAATTTAGGTAAATTCTCAGTCATTACTATTTTAAATAGCTCAGAGATTTTTTTCCTCAGTCATGTCCAGTCTAGTAAGTTCAGCAAAGGCACTCTTCATTTCTCTTAATGTTTGTGAACTCTACCATTTCTTTTGGTTCCTTATTAGAATTTCTGTCTCTTTCCTTGTATTGCTCATTTGTTCTTGCATGCTGTCTATCCATTAGAGCTTTTAGCATATTAATCATAGTTGTTTTAAATTCCTATTCTGCTAATTCCAACATTGCTGCTATGTCTGGTTCTGATGCTTGTTCTATCTTTTCAAATTGGTTTTTGCCTTTCAGTATATTTTACAGTTTTTTTTTTTTCTTAATAGCTACACATGATGTACTGGGTAAAAGGAACTGCTAGAAATAGGCCTTTAGTATGTGGTGGTGAGGTATGGTGGGGAGGGGGAAGCATTCTGTAGTCCTATGATTAGGTCTCAGTCTTTTAGAATGAGCCTGTGCTTCTGGACTGTTAACTCCACTAGTATTTTGCAGTTTTTTCTAATTTTTTGGTTGGGTCAGCTGGTTAGAGTTGACTAGAGTTGGCTCTTTGTCTTCTCCTGGGTCAGGTAGGCTCTGATAATATCCTAGGTCAGGCTCTGGTTCACTAGTTTCTCCTGAGGGCAGACCTTGTTAAAAAAAACAAACCAAAAAACCCGAGTATTCTGGCATAGTTAAAAAAATGGTTCCTTTTCCCATCCCCCTTCTGGATGCATGCAAGGAGTTTTCTGATATTTACTGCAAGAACTTGGTTGAGCTGCTGGAGGTAAACACAAAAAAATTTGGGAGCTCTACTATGACTGGGTCCACTTAGAGTTTTTAACTCAGTGTATACACTGAGCTCTGGCAACTCATCAGTTATAGTTCAGGTTTTCCAACCTCAGCACTGGTTTCTATGGGAATTTCTGCTCATGAATCTGCTCTAGTGGGCTGTGACTCCCTTTATTTTCCTGTCTGTCTCCAATCTTGGAGGCAGGGGTTTGCACTGTGTCCTCCTCTCTCTTACAGATCTGAGAAGAGTTGGTGATATTTTTTCTATTTAAGGTTTTTTACTTGTTAGAACAGAGTGGCAATTACTAAGTTCCTTACATGCAGAATCAGAAACCAGAAGTTAGTGTTACTTTCGAAATTAAAATTTAAATGTGTAAGGAATCGCCTAAGTTTAAATAATAGGTTGATTCAAATAATGCTTTTTATTAAAACTATTTTGAAAGGCTTCACTACTAATAGGCTATGAAGTTTTGGAATACACACTGCATATAGTTTTATTAAAAATAAATACATTCTCTTGTCACTTAAGTAGAAATTGTTTATATTTTAGATAACGTTCAGTCATCCGGGCCTAGACAGTCAGAGCAGAAGTATAGAATATGTACAACGACAAATATCCAAGGAATGTGGAAACCTAAAATCCCAAAATAGGGTAAGTGGTCTTAGTTTTATCTTCTTTTTTTGTTGTTTTGTTTTTAATGTTTTTATTTTTATTTTTCTTAAGATTTTATTTGAGAGAGAGAGCACAAGCAGGGGGAGAGGCAGAGGGAGAGGGAGAAGCAGACTCTCTGCCCAGCAGGGAGCCCAATGCGCGACTCGATCCCAGGACCCCGGGATCATGACCTGAACCAAAGGCAGATGCTTAATGACTGAGCCACCCAGGCACCCCTTAGTTTTATCTTCTGATACAGACTATAACTAATTAACGTATAAGTGAAATTTTTTAGTCTCCGTGTAGCTGAATTATACTAGGGATTTTTTTTCATGTGTACATTTGCTACATATATGATTATAAACATTATTACTTAAATTCCATCCAAGTTTCTGGTTTGAGTCTGAGGATTGCCACTGTGTATTTATCACTGAATAAAGCCAATAGGAATTATATATTGGTAATTTAATAGACTGTATCCATCATTCCACCTTTAGCCCAGATCTGGAGGGTTTTTTTAGCCCCAGTTCCATAATATCTTGAGAATGGAACTTTGCCTCAACCTGGATCAGGTGCTTTCCTGTAGACCAGTTACTGTGTCCAGGGACTCTAGGACTAGGAAATACAAATGTGACTACAAGAAGCCCGCTTGTATAGGTAAAGAGACAGGTCATTTTGATTTAGACCCATTTGATTTATCCCCAAAAAGATATAATTTGCTCCCGGGCCTCAGGAAGACAATATACCCAGAAAGGGGGTGGGAGAAGGAGCAAGGAGAGGGAATGAGAACAAGCAGGTGTAGTGTGTTTTAAGTCATTTTCAGAGACTATATAGCCAAGCTATATACATGTGTGTCTGTGTATTGGTTTGCTAGGGCTATCATAACAAAGTATCAGATGGAGTGGCTTGAACAAAAAAAATTATTTTCTCACAGTTCTGGAAACTGGAAGTCTAAAATCAAGATGTTGGCACGTTTGGTTTCTTCCGAAGCTTCTCTTCCTGGCTTGTAAATGTCTGCTTTTTGGCCATGTCCTCATATGGTCTTTCTTTTGTACACCCACATCTCTGGTGCCTCTCTGTATGTCCAAATTTCCTTTCCTTTTCTTTCTCCTCCCCCCTTTTTTAAAGATTTATTTATTTATTTTAGAGAAAGAGAGAGAACACGTGTGAGCAGGGGGAGGGGCAAAGGAAGAGGGAAAGAATCTTCAGACTCTTGGCTGAGCACGGAGATCCCACGACCCCAAGATCATAACTGAGCTGAAATCAAGAGTCGGAAACTTAACCGACTGAGCCCCACAGGCCCCCCCAAATTTCCTTTTCTTAAAAGGATACCAGATTGGATTAAGACCCATCGTAAGGACCTTATTTTAATGTAATCACCTTTAAAAGGCCTTATATCCAAATATTGTTATATTCTGAAGTATTGGTCTCAACATATGAATTTGGGAGTACACAGTTCAGCCCATAACATTCCGCCCTCTGGTTCCTCACATTCATCTCATCACAACAGCCCAAAAGTTTTAACCCATTCTAGCATCAATTCTAAGTCCTGCATCTTTTCTACTAAGTTGAGTGTGGGTGAGATGCAGGATGTGGTTTCATCCTAAGGCAAAATTCCTCTCCAGCCGGGAACCTGTAAAGCAAGACAAATTACCTGCTTCTAAAATACCAGGATGGGAAAGGCATAGAATAGATACTCCCTTTTGAAAAGGGAGAAATCTTAGAAAGAAGAAAGCAGTCATGAGTCCTAAGCAAGTCTAAAACCTAGCAGGGCAAATTCTGTGAGATTTTAAGGCTTGGGAATAATCCTCTTTGGCTCTGGCTCAGTATTTTGTCCTATGGGCCAAGGACATTGGTGACCCCAAATCCTTAGTGCATGATAGCCTCATACCCAAGGTTCCAGGTTTTCTGGCCCACTGAAACTGAGGAGAGAGCCTCACCCTTGGGATCATTCTTTCCTTTTCTTAAAGGATAACACATGTTTTCAGTCAGATAGCTCTATTTGCCAGTCCTGTAAATCCTAGAAGTCCAAAAAAGCTTTTCTTTGTTTCATGCTATCTCTGTTTCCTGTAGTCCATTGTAGCAGCTTTGTAGCTGAGATAGTTGATTGGATTCAGGAATCACACCCATAATCTCTTTATTATATGATTGGTTAGCCACACCCTTGGGTATTCTCTCTAGAACATGCTTTCTCAATTTTTGCACTACCCATAGGCAGAGAATTTTCCAATTCTTCAAGATCTCCTTCCTTTTTGCTTAAAAATTTCTACTTCAGTTTATCCCTTTCCTCTCACATTTTAAGTGTTAGCTAAACACTAAAAGGAGAAACTGAGCACCTTCAACGCTTTGCTTAGAATCTGCCAAATATCCAAGTCCATCAGTCACAGGTTCTGTCTTCCACAAAACGCTAACATACAGTTCATCCACATTCTTTACCAATTTAAAACAAGTATTACCTTCCCTCCAGTTTCCAACATGTTCTTCATTTCCATCTGAGCCTTAACCAGAAGCACATTTAATGTCCATATTTCTAACAACAGTCTCTTCAAGGCTTTTTGTAACATGAACCTCAAAACTCTTTTAACTTCTACCCATTTCCAAAGTCATTTCCACGTTTTTACATACTTGTTAACAGCAACACTCCCAATTCTTGTACTAGAATCTGTATGAGTCAGGGTTCTCCTGAGAAACAGAACCAACTCGTTATGTATATATACACAGAGAGAGATTTATTTTAAGGAATTGGTTCATGGAATAATGAAGGTATATATGCAAAATATGCAGGTAGGGTAACAGGCTTGAGACCCGGGGGAGAGTTGCAATCCCATCCAAAGGCGGTCTGCTAGCAGAATTCTGTCTTGCTTGGGCTGGTCAACATTTATATTATTAAGGCCTTCAACTAATTGATCAAGTCTGTCTATGTTGTGGAAGGTAATCTACTTCATTCATAATCCACCAACTTAAAGATTGATCTCATACAAGCAACATCTTCACTTAAACATCCAGAATAATGTTTGATCAAATATTTGGGCAGTGCAGCCCAGCCAAATTGACATATAAAATTAACCTTCACTGTTCTTATTGCCATTTTCATCTCTTTCCTTTTTAGGTCCCTTTGAAATCAATCCGACATGTCAGCTTTCAAGATGAAGATGAGATTGTCAGAATAAACCCTCGAGATATCTTAATACGTCGTTATGCAGACTACAGACATCCTGACATGTGGAAAAATGACTTAGAGAGAGATGATACTGATTCCAATATTCAATTTTCTAAACCAGACAGTAAAAAATCAGACTATCTATACTCTTGTGGGGATGAAACTAAGTTAAGTTCACTCAAAGACTCTGTGGTATTTAAGACACAGCCTTCCTCATTAAAATTTAAGAAGTCAAAACGAAGAAAAGAAGATGGTGAACGTTCCCGCTGCGTATACTGCCAGGAAAGGTTTAATCATGAAGAAAACGGCAGGGGAAAATGTCAGGATGCTCCAGACCCTATTAAAAGATGCATATATCAAGTTAGTTGCATGCTCTGTGCAGAGAGCATGTTATATCATTGTATGTCAGACTCAGAGGGAGATTTTTCTGATCCCTGTTCATGTGACACTAGTGATGACAAGTTCTGCTTGCGATGGTTAGCCCTAGTAGCTTTGTCCTTCATCGTACCATGTATGTGCTGCTATGTCCCTTTGAGAATGTGCCATCGTTGTGGCGAGGCGTGTGGGTGCTGTGGTGGGAAGCATAAAGCTGCTGGGTGAAAGAATCCCGTGCCAAAATGAGCTTAAAATCTTTGTTTCCAGGAATTAGCTAACTTGTATTTGTGGAAGCTTTTGGCAAGCAATATGAAATCTTGCCTGGTATCATTGGGGCCACACGTGGAGGAAGCAGAACTCGTTAGTTCTTGGCATTTCACAAACGCTAGCCATGCCTAACTTTCTCCCTTCAGTGCATGGCATGTTTTGTTACAGGTTGTAAAGAATATTTGCAAAAGGAAACCATTTCTGGTTATTGGCTATACAAAGTGAGCATAAAATATCCAACTTAAAAGGGATTAATTTTTGGCATTTTTGTATATTTATGCATTAGGTGATGGGACTTTTAAAGGTTTGAATTCATTAAGACATAAACTAAAAGTGCACTAGGGGACAGTTGTTTTCAATCTAAGAAAAGTTAACACTTGGGAATTTTAAGAAGTAAAACAAGTGCAACTAAATCATTTATTAGTTGTTTTTTGAAAGCGGTTTTATGTATAAATAACAAATGTTTATATTTAACTAAATATAAGGTACGAATTATTACATATTAAACTTTTCTTCCCCTTCCTAGTTCTGAAGTAGATGTACATATATCTACTGTCACATTCCATTATATTTTGAATATTTTACTCATCTAGTTAATAATGTTTTTATTCCATGTGAATGATTTGATATTTTCATCCTCATTTCCCTTTGGCTACAGTTTATATTGAGTTCTATCTGTACATTCTGGTAATCTAAAATCTTTAAAAATATTCTAATAGCCTTGAGTGACCAATTTTTTTTTTTTAAAGCACAGATGTAATTGTCTAATGTTCTGATGGGAACGTAACACTTATTTTTATATAAAAAGAGACTGAGTAAACATTATAGAAAAAAGTGAGGTTTTGGGGTTGTTTTGTTTTTTGTGGTATTCAACCAGCAAGTTGTTTTCTTTCAGAATTTCCTCCTTCAAAAAAATCACATTGCATTTACAAATGTTTTACAAGGCAAAAAGTGTAACTGGATAGTTCATGTAAAAGTTTCCTCCTGAGATCTCCATTTATCATTCTGCTAAACTAGACTATGTTCAGCTGTGTTAATTTTTTAGCTTAATTCTCAGTGCTTATTATTCACATAACAATAACTTTTCCCAGTTGCATTTTACTTTATTTAAACTTGCCAAAAGCAAAATTATTTTATGTTAAAGTATATACTAAACTATCCCAGGAAAGTATTTAATCCAACATTGTGAATGAAATATCTTGTACATATAATTTTATTTCTTTTGCAGAGCATTGTATTACTGGATGTTTTATTTACAAAGTAGTTGGATAAATGTTCCAACAAATTGTTTAAAGTAGTTGGGGTCAATTTGTCTGGTTGGTTTGTTTTTTTGTTGGTTTTTGTTTTTGTTTTTTTTTGTCTAAGTGTTACATTAAAACTCTAACAAGTAAAGGGTTCTTTAAGAACATTCCCTTAGAGGGATAAAGTTGAGAAGTGTGCCTTTTTTTTAATGGCTTGAAGTTTCAGAAGTGATAAAATTAAAATCACACTACCATTTGAAGCTCATTTCTATGCAGGTTTTAAAATGTCATTTATGTATCGTTCTTTTTACATATCACACTTAAGCTTGTGTTAGCTTTCTTCTTTTGCCCCAGATCAAACTGAACAATGTATATAACACTATCTGTCTGTAAAATACTTTTTTTTAAGAAAGCATTTATATTTATATGACAGCTTGAACTGACAACATTGTGTATATAGATCATCTTGAAGTATTATTTCACATTGAAAAGAAGAAAAAATATATTGATAACTATAGATGTTATGAAGAAGAGGTTATTTCTAGTTTTGTACTAAAAATCAATTGGATGAACTAAATCCAAAATATGACACTGTAGCAGCAGTTTTAAGACTTATTTTTACTGTTTATATAATTGAACACTGCTACACCAGATGATCTTCATCCCTGAAGTTTTCAGCTAAACTTGGTTTCCTAGAATAGACTGTTAACTTTTAAAATTACTTTTTATTGGTAAAATGGAAATACTGGTTTTCCTTGTGAATGAATTTTCATATTTGTAAGTGCTGAGTTCATAATTCAGGTTTGAGCAAGGTGTGAATAACTGAAGAAAATAACTTGCTGGCCCTATAGGAAAATGCTGTGGAAATGAACTGTGTATATACTTCTGGGAAGAACAAATTTAATCATTTCTTCTGTTAAGCACTAATCAGTATAGTGCAACTCCTGGTTCTGTACTGTATTTTATATGCAACATATATGCTTTAATATTTTAATGTTTGTGCATTAATATTTTCAATTTGTTTAACCACTTTGCTGCTAAGATTTTGCCATCCCATTCCCATTTTTTTCCTTTACAATTTTAAACAAGTTTCTTCATTAAAAACTATGGTGATGAAATGGTTTTTATTTCACCTTGGATCTTTGTAGTTAACACACTCAGATTCCAAACCAGTCTAGAATACTAACTGATAATATAATGTCTGAATCCCTCTGTGGAAATGTTCTCTTGAGTAAATTAGAGTTCTGTGGGGGAGAAAAAAAAGGATAGTTTAAATTTCTCATTCTTAAAATGTGTATAGGTATGTTCAGGAACATTTTCTGCTTCTGCATACAGACTTGGCACTGCCAACTGACTTTTCCTCTGAAACCTTTCTCTTTGCTTTTAATCTGGTAGTTATAAGCAAATGGCTAAACCAGCTTAAGTAATAGTAAATATTGAAAATGAAATCATCTAGATGGCATAAAAAGAAAGACTTTGGTCTGATGGCTTGTTGTGTTCAGAACTGATAGTTCTTAAATGATTTTTCTCCTGCCTTGACAGGGGAATCATTTGATTGCTGAAGAAATATGAGGTATGGAACTTCAGCACCACCTACTGGATGTTTTATAGACCAGAGACATGAGGTGGCAATCAGGATCTGACAGGGTTCATCACTACTACCAATAAAAAGGGCTATTTAAATAGTGGCCACCTCCAAACAGAGAAAGCAAGAGTAAGACATATCTCAAAGGAACTGTAAAACGAACCTTTTCTCTAATGTGTCTTTTGGTCCCTGAAAGATTTTAAGCACTTTTTTCTTACATATCCTGTCTTAAAATATTTATTGATCTTTGGAACTGGCAATCAAACTTAATGGATATGCCGAAGCATTTATAAAACTAATTCTTTTAATGTGCAAAAGCCATTACCAAAATGGTATTCTAATTTTCCTCCCATTACCAGCCAGGGAGTTTTTTTAAAAAAATAAACATCACCTATATTTGATCATGACAACTTCAGAGAGTGTGTGTATGTCTCTGGGATGATGTTGGGACAGGGGTTAAAATTTAAAGGGGAAAACTTGAAACTACCTATTTTCATTGGTTATTCAGCAGTGCCTAAAAAGAACTTTTGAAGTAATACAAATGCACTTTCAATTCATGTGTATAGTGCCATCTGATACCTTGGGTAAGTCTTGCTTTTTCTTTTCTTTTACTCCCCACCCCACCCCCTTAATTGAATGCCACAGAGATGTTTTCTAATATCCATAGACGTCTTCAAAGTACAGGAAACATGTACTTTCCTCCAGATGGGCAATTTAAAGGATGTTTCTTTTGTTGAAATTTACTTTAGGCTTTGTGATTACTTTTTGGAATATGTGGGTGAGATTGGGTTTTTAATTTTAGCCCAAAGATGCATTAAGTAAGTGTAACATTTTTCTACATAAAACTTGGAAAACTTTAGTTACCTGGAAAACAGATTCTTCACTAAATATTCTCATTCTTAATTTGAACTCCAGGATCATATTTCTAAGTAGAAGGGAAAGCACTAGAAACTTATATTGTTGCACTTAAAAAAACTTGGTCTATAAACCATGATAATAATAGTACCATAAGGTACTATTGTTGACTCACTGTTTTGCAGTGAGTCAAAACATTAAGAAATCACAACCTGAGGTGATTTATATAAACCAAAAAAAAAAAAAAAAACCCCAACAACAACAAAAAAAGGGCTTTAAGGTATTAAGGTACTGTTTGCCTAGCAGCCAGGTGGTTATAAAACTTTCATATGCTTTGATACACTGATGTTAGCCATTGTTCCTGAAAGCTCCTTAAATTGCATAAGTTGCTAGTTTTGAAACTTTTAAAGAATAATCTAGTTGAAAAACCTTTGTATTAAAGATACACATAGATTTTTGTGAATATTGCCAGTATGTAGTGTCATTTGCTTTCTATTCTTGACCTCAAAAGTGCCTCACTTGTATATTCCATTAAAAGCTTGACTGCATTCTTTCTAATAAGCAATGAAAAATTGTTTAACTCATGTCATAATGTATCTCCTTAGATATAGTTGATTAGCTTGATAGTTTGGATATATAATGTAAATATGCATATATAAGTTTGTAACTGTTTTTGTTACATCATACCCATGTAATTGGACATATCAGATGATATCATAAGAATTTGTTTTAATTACCTGATTAAACCTATCATGAAATACAAAAGGACTTTTTCTTACTCTTCTAGAGGTTAACAAACTATCACATAAGATAATTACTCAAGGAGAAAGCAGTAGAAATGGACTTTTTTTTGGTCATTTTTTAAGGTATATTTTTAACTGAAAGTTCATGTATATAGTTCATCTTATTGACATTTATTCACCCTTGATCGTATCCAGATTTTTTTAATGGTTGTTACCTATAAATAGGTAAATACAATAAATATAAATATGTTATATTTATTGGTTTGGGAACATGATACCGCTAAATCTGGATTAAATGATAATCCTTGAATGATATGTGGAAAATTTTTAACCCAAGACTACTACTGATTTTTTGTGTGTCCTACTCGGTTTCAGAGTTTCATTTGTAATATAAACAAAAATAACCTAATATTCTAGATGAAAAATTAATAGGACAATACTAAAAAATCATAGCTTATTTCAACACCAGAGTAACTTTTGGATTACTGTATTAGTTATATTTACTTGAAGAATCAAGAATTAACTGTTTACCATGAATTATGAAATGTAGTCTCATGTGCTTATTTACAGGTTTTCAGAAATTTACTTTATATTCTTCACAGTCAAGTTAATATCCACAAGTAAGTAGAATAATTTTTACATCAGAGAATTCAAACTAGGGTTTCTCCTTGGCCATCAGTATAGTGTCATGCTCACAGTGGTCCTGAAAGAAAAAAACATTGGTATTAATAAAACTGGAGTTGACTCCTTTAAAATTAACTGCTTTAAGATTTGCAGTTTTATAGAGATCCTTTGAAATGATGGCTCAAAAAATATATTCATAATAAAAGTCTAACAAAATCATAGTTGAAATGGTGTTTTCTTTTGTGTATCAGGTTTTATTTTTGTTATGTAATATATTTTAAATGATCACTTTTTAGTTCTCAATCCCGTAATGAAGTATTAATCTTCCTTTTTTTTTTTTTAACTAAAGAGATTTAGGCTTCAAGAGGTTAAAAAATATTCCCAAGATCACATTAGGGGGCACCAGGATTTGAACCAAATTGCCTTACTCCAAAATCTATGCTTTTAGTTACAATACAATTTGGTGTTTTGTTACAAGGGTTACAAATGTACTTAACAGAATAACTTTATTATTCTGTTAAAATGAAATTTTATTTTAGCTGGAGAATTTTATAAGGGAATAACTTCTTAATTCCCACTCCTTTTTGTTTCAATTCTGGTTCCACTATTCATCTATCTCACTAAGTTGTGGTGCACTATCTGCATTATGGCGTGTGGGGTTCCTTAAAGTTGGGAGAATAAGATTGTGATAATACTTCAACATATCATCAAGATTTATCAGTTTGTACTGGTCTAATATAAAGTACTGAAGACATGTCCAGTGTGTGGTATTGTTCATTTTGCTCAATTGGATGGCATATCCCTAAAGATTTTGAGGGATTATTTTTCACCAAAGCAGTGATACTTCCTGTTGCAGTATAAAACAATATTCTCAAATGAGTCTTCTCCTGGATTTTGGACTCTTTTTTTCAAAAGTGAGCCATTTGTATGTCAGCTATTCCACAAAGCCTGTCTTTGAACCCAAGTTGCATTTAGTGTCAGGCCTCCTGTTACACACATGTCACGATGAGGTTAGTGTCCCCCTTCCCTCAAACTTAATTTTAACCTAGAAATAATTTACAATAACCAAGAGGTTGTGTGCAATTTGAAAAGGACAGGAAGAACTCCAGAATTCCTAATATTGCAATAAGATCATTCTGGATGATAAAACTTGAGACCTGTTTAATTTTCATTTCTATTAATTCTTAATTTTGCATTGTCAAATTGCAAGATACTAATTTAAATGATTTTTTTCTCTTTAGAATGTATTGTGATATAGAAGATCTTACAGAAATTACTTGTCCAACATAAGTCCCTTTTGCCTCCTCCATATTTTCCTCCCTCCTTTTCCCTGTTACAGGAATGTCTCCAACCTCTAAATTCATGGAGGGGAAAAATACACGGAGAAGAAATTTCAGCAGTATATTATAATTCTTTTTAAAGTGCTTGTATTATTCCCAGGAATGGCCAGCAAGCTTAAAGTGTGTTTTTCATCAGTAAGGGAAACAAGTGTTTGACTATCACTTAAAATTTAAGAGAAAACAAGTTGTATGAATTTGTGAATTCCTAGCTAGCTAACAGTTCTTATTAAAATTCTTGTTAAATGTTCAAAGTGAAATGCACACAGATAGCATGATACTCCAAAATTCTAAGAAGGAAATAAAGATCCAAGCCAAATTAAGATTGCTGATAAAGTTGAGGTCACTGAAATTTTAGGACTGGGACTCTACTAATCTCTCTTTAGAGATTCACACAGCACCCTTATTTTACAGAAACAGGCCTAAGGAGGTTAAGATATTATCGGAAGGTCATTCATTCATTTAATAACACAGCCTGCATTTTTTAAACCCATACATCCTACTGCCTGAAGTGTATCTCTTGCAGGCACCTCAAATTCAGTAAGTGCCAAACTAATATCCCCCCATTCCTCAAACCTTTTTTTCTCTTCTCTGTCTTGACAGATAGTGACACCACTGTGTTTGCAGTAGTCTTAGCAAGAAACCTGGTCATCATCAACTTCTCATTTTCTCTTTTTACCATTAATTCTCAGTTTTTTTACAGTTCTGTTTCCTACATGTCCCTCAAATCTGTGTTCCTCTATCCTCACTGCTGCTATCCTAGTACAAGTCATGTCAGTACTGATGTTGGGGATTGAGGCATTGAGTCACTCGCATGTTTTTATATTTAACGAAGGATGGTCTGTATTTTAAATATCATTGGAAGGTGAAAGCACTTTAGACTACAATAAGATGGTGATAAAAAGGGGCGCCTGGGTGGCTCAGTCGTTAAGCGTCTGCTTTCGGCTCAGGTCATGATCCCAGGGTCCTGGGATCAAGCCCCGCATTGGGCTCCCTGCTCTGCGAGAAGCCTGCTTCTCCCTCTCCCACTCCCCCTGCTTCTGTTCCCTCTCTCGCTGTGTCAATCTCTGTCAAATAAATTAATAAAATCTCAAAAAAAAAAATGGTGATAAAAAGTGGACATCTTCAGACTGAGATATACCCAGATTCAGACAAAAGAAATGGTTTATTGTGGGATTGAGGGATCAAATGATAGTGACTGAAGAATAGTTCAAACTGCACCTAGGACCAGTTAGGGAATTAAGAGCAACTTGAACTGTAAGGTACAAACTTAAAAGATAAGCTTTAAACTATATGTTCACCTTTCCTTAAAGCCATTCTTCCCCCTCCGTCTCCCCCCCCCCCCCCCCCCCCCCCCACCCCCCTGCCAAGTAATATAAGCTTGTCTATCTGTGGTGGTTGTGGTTTTCTAAGAGCTTAGGTAAAAGAAGAGTCCATTGCAGGAAACCTTTGAGATCCTATTGCTGATAGCATTGTAAGCAAATCAGTAGCTCCATAATCAGGTGAGCCCATATTCGAAAGGGTTTCTTTGCTTTTTACAACTTGTTTTTCCCTAAGGAAACATCAAAAGCAGCCTACCTGGTACAGATTTCCCTTTTGAAGGTCACAGGGTCACGTCTCCAGGCAAGGCTGACTACTTAAAGGGTAAATGGGACAGAGCCATCCCAGTTAAAGGAAGAGCAAATGCAAAGGCTCCCAATAGAAAGGAGCTTGGCTTGTTGAAGGACAGCAAGAAGGTTAGTATGACTAGAGTGGGCAGAGTGCAGGAGCTCATGAAAGGAGATAAAGTCACAGAGATAGCAAGTGTCAGATCTTGTGGGAACTTGAAGCTCATGGGAAGGATTTCAG